AGAGAGAATCATGGGGTATTCTCTGTTCGCCTGCGTTAACGTTATTTGCTTTGGAGTCGTTTTATGGGGGCATGTTAGCGGTTACTCGAACAGTGGTAAGTCATGCTAATTACCTCTAGTTCTAACGACATTTTGGACCCAAATTCAGAATTAACCAATTAGAAACTCTAAATTCTATACTATAACTCCAAGCTGCCAGAGGCTGAGCTGCCACTACCACTGACGCTGAGGCTGACGCTGAACCTGGCACTGCCACCACTGTATTGGTGCCGGCACTAGTCTGGTAGCCAGTATTGGCAATGCCCGCACTGGCACTGCTACCCTTGTTGTTACTGCTACCTACGTACCAGTGAGGTGCCTCTGCCATTACTGTTGCCACCTGCTAACTGCTAACTGTCACTACTATTGTTACAGCGAGCGCTAATGTCACTTCTACCCATATTGCCTCCTCTAACTGCTACTGCTATTGATACCGCTGGGGTTGAAATGTTTTTTGGATACATCATTCCATTTCGCGCTCTAATCGGTTTTATCCTAGCTCTTCACTGCCACTTCACTGCCGCTTCGATACACTGTGCATGTGTATAATGACTTAATCTGCAATCGAAAGATGCTGTTGTAATAATTTTTTCCAGCTTTTATTTATATGGAAAGCTACAACTTTGGTCACAAGGGTTGGAAAAAAAATCATTCTATACACATTTTGCCCCTCCCCACCCCTGAGCAATGTTGACAAAACACTTTCATCTAACACAAGTTTGCATTTTACCATTTTCCAACATTGAATGGGGGAATGGGGTCGTTGACACTCATTCTGTAGGTATTACGATTATCATTTCATGATTTGGGCATTTTCCAACACTATTTGTCCATGATTGTAGCTTAGTTGGCAAGAAAGGTCATGATCAAGTAAACTTTAGAGAAACTCAGATAACGAATTAATTGATATTTTTCCCTGTGCAGATTATGCTCTGTATTTCCCAAAGAAAGGAAAGACAGATTATGCTAACATCTGGGGCATGCCAAAACTGACTAAGTTCACTATTTGTCTATGGATGAAGACGACTGAGAAAACTAAAGGCACACTACTCAGTTACGCTGTACCCGGACAGGTAGATGAACTGAATATATTGTATGACGATAAAGGCTTTTCTCTGGTGATTGGAGGCAAATCTAGGTAAGATAACTAAAACCCCAAATCGCCTCTATCAAAACCAACTCGAGCACCAGGATCACTACAACCATTAGCACTACTGTAATGATTACCTCAAACACTACTATTATACCACCTGAAAGTGATCTTTAATGTGATATTTTCTTCCCGTTTTCATTTCTTGCTTTGTGAATTAGTTTAGTCTTAATTACCATTTGTTTCCTTCGTTCCTTCCTTTCTTTATTTGTAAATAAGTAGCAGTCAACTCGAAAGCTTTGCTACTTTGGCTGTTGCACGCTGACTCAAATTGAACATATAGTTATATAATCTCTGTCATTACGTTTTCTATAATTTCATTTTTTGTCTTACCTTTCTTTTGTACCTAAATAGTGTGAATAAAGATTGTTGTTGCTGTTGTTGTTGTTGTAACACTACCACTATCACCACCACCACCACTAGCACTATAACTACCACTCACCACTGCCACTACTGCTATCACTTTTGCGTCTCGCTTCTACAACTGCCACTAGCATGACGTACTTGACTTCGACCACCACTAAGTGCACCGCCACAACCACGACGGCAACGGCAACGGGAACGTCACTGAACAAAAGAGTTAATGAGCAGTACAGTGTGTTATAATTCTTGGTATATTTCTTTGCCGTCCTCTGCAAGACAAAAACGTGAAATGACCAAATTTGCAGTGTCTGGAAAACGTGAACCACGACGGCTAATTATTTTTTTATTTAAAGTTTATCGCTGTGTTCCGGATTTAGTTTTGCGATAGTTCGTAGTGATAAACAAAGTAAATGACTTTAGAGTATCGCGGGATTCGCAGGTAAAATATAAATTCATTTTTTAATCGACGTTGTACTCGGCATCGCCTTCGTGGTTTCGTAAACTCCCTACTATCGTCACCACTACCGCTGTCACGAACATTTTTACCTTATCTTTACTCTACTGCCAAGACCGCTACCACCATCACTAGCTCTACTGCCCTTTCTTCTACTGCTACTGCTACTTAGAATGCCACTGCAACTAGTTGAAATACGGCGCAGCTCTTTTATTGCTATAAAGTTGTTCCCACGAAAGAGCACAGATTTTAATTTACTCAAGAATGGCAGAAATTGTTATCCTCCCTTTTCTAGATTTAAGGGTAAGAAGAGAACTTCCGACTGTGATCCCTCATTCCTTTTTAGTTGGTGATTCAAACAATGCAAGTCTCTTACATTATTTTGTTTTCGACAGCAAAATCAAAGACATCTTTGCTAATGATGGAGACTGGCATCAAATTTGCGTATCTTGGCAAAACAGCGATGGTGCATGGCAGTTCTTCAAAGATGGAGCATTGCTCAAGCATGACAAAGGTCTGCAGAAAGGTCACATCATTAAGGGGGGAGGTTCGCTCGTGCTGGGTCAACACCAAGATTCCCTTGGAGCTGGCTTCCAAGAGAAACAGGCCTTCCAAGGAATCTTGACCAAGGTCGATGTGTGGTCTTACGTTTCTACGCCCAAGGCAATCTATTTGCTGTCAAGGTCTTGCATGTTAGGCGAAGGCAACGTGTACATGTGGTCTGATTTTATCAATGGTGTTAAAGGAGCTACCGCGCTGATCATTCCGTCTCCCTGCAAAGGCCAGTTTCCTGGTGGTCATCCCCCCGCGGGCCATAAACCGGGAGCCCAGAAGCCCGGGAGCCATAAACCTGGGGGCGAAAAGCCCACTAGTCACCCACCCACGAGCCACAAAACCGAAAGCCATAAACCCACTGGCCGCAAACCCGAAAACCACAAGCCTGGGAACCAGAAACCCGTCGGTAACATTCCCGGGGGCAAGAAGCCCGGTGGGCAAAAGCCGGCGGGCCAGAAACCCGGTGGCCAGAAACCGGCGGGCCAGAAACCCGGTGGCCAAACTCCAGCGGGCCAGAAACCCGGTGGCCAAAATCCCGGGGTCGGGGCTCAACATGTTGGAGGGCAGAATCCTGGATTCCAATATGTCGTTGCCCAAAATTCTGGGGGGCAGAATCCCGTGGGCCAAATTCCCGGGGGACAGAATCCTGTAGCCCACAATCCTGGGGGCCAAATTCATGGGGGGCAGAATCCTGGAGTTCAATATTCGGGTGGCCAAAATCTCGTGGAACAAAATCCCGGAGGCCAACATTTAAGAATAGGATAAGCACCCTCTGTTCAATGTTAATGACCAGAAAAAAGAGAATGTACCTATATGGNCCCAAAATTCTGGGGGGCAGAATCCCGGGGGCCAAATTCCCGGGGGACAGAATCCTGTAGCCCAAAATCCTGGGGGCCAAATTCATGGGGGGCAGAATCCTGGAGTCCAATATTCGGGTGGCCAAAATCTCGTGGGACAAAATCCCGGAGGCCAGCATTTAAGAATAGGATAAGCACCCTCTGTTCAATGTTAATGACCAGAAAAAAGAGAATGTACCTATATGGTCACTTGAAGTGAAGTAGAATTAAATTGAAATAAATATAGAAGCCGAGAACACAAGTGTGCAAGAGTCTACATATATAGATATAAATTATTTATGTAACTGAATTTCAAAGTCACCAATTTAAAGTCTTTAAAGTCTTTAAAGTCTTTAACAGCAGTATCTACAATGGTCGCAGTGTAGATCTCTTTCTTTCCCTTACTGCGTATCCCAGCAGCGGTCAATGGAATATTTTCCTGTGTTTTCAAACCAATTTGTTCCACAGGGAGCAAACAAAATGAATGAATAAATAAATAAATAAATAAATAAATAGATAGATTAATAAATAAATCAATAAATCAATAAATAAAACTAGTGAACAAATGAAGCCGTATTAGGCCTAGGGCAAACGTCGAATCTTAGTCGAATTTAATTCGTCAAACCCATTAATTTTGAAATAGGCGCGTGAATGGTGCGACGTTTGCTGCAATTAAATGCGACTCAAATTAATTGGTTTGACTCTAGCATAGGTTTGACTTGCCAAGTCGGATAATGCGACAGTTGTTCAGCGTTTCAGCAAACGCCGCTCTAAACACGCGCTGAACTCAATTCATAAATCATGCAAATTACGAAATAACTGATTCAAATGTGATGGACTGGGCAAACGTCACAAAAATACATACTCCTCCATCTGCCAAACGCTATTCCCCCCCCCC